GTGCCTTTGGGCGATTTTTGTTGGCAAACCTATTTTAATTTTTTAGGGTTCCAGGCGTGGAAATTAAAGAAAAATGGAGAAAAGGAAAGAGATTTAGAAAGAAAGAAAAAAATTACTTTAAGAAAACAAAACAGAACCAAAGAAAAAGAAGATTTAGCTTTTTGTTTTGGTGGAAGTCAATTAGTACGCTCACGAAAGGAAATCACGGTACCTGGCTAGCGACTTTCATAATAACTGCAATCAATAACACCGTAAAGCTCATTATGGTAATTTTGATTTCTCCCTTATTAATCCCTGAATGAAGAGCAATTTTGGGCAGAGGAAACGGTTATGGATTTGAAGATTTCATACAAAGAGCACATGTAGTGATATGAACATCGCTATTTGGACCTGTTCAAATACTTAAAGCTGTTTCCGACATTTTCTATTGACTGAGAAACATTGTTGATATTTCTTGAACACTTGGATAACTTTCAATTTTGTTTTTTGGTGATCAGTTCTCCTTTTGAAAGGAGGATATCCTCCAGGCAGTTCTTCCCTTGATGGAGTGTGGGCGGGAAAGTCATTTGGGGCTCCGGATCAAAACGTTCAATGTCAAACTTGTTTTGATTTCATTTGAGGTACAGAGCTTTACCCCACAGACAGCAAATAAGACAAAGAACTGATAACATCTGTAACGTATTAGATGCTGTGCAGGCTACAGGCCATTGCGATTTTATTTCAGCCTTTCATGTGTCTCTAAAGCAACACTGAAACACTTCAATTGTTTTAGAATTGATGTTAATGGTCACATTGAGTGATGTTCATGATACTTATTGAACTGAGTACCGTGTTGGTAAGTGTATCTGATTTAATTGTTTTTTTTCTTTCCAAACATGAAACTCCTGATCAATATAAGTACATGTCACTGACATGGAAAAAATTGAGGTAGATTATAAATATTCACAGTTTACAAATTGTGTGAAAAATCTCGCCTAAAACAACAAATAATTTAAAAAATCCTGGCTTAGGATTCGAATCTGTTGCATCTATCATACCGTGATAATATTCTCCTGCCTAAGCTAAGTACATATTGGTGCCGAGGTCAAATAAACGTCCTCGTTTAATGTCAGATAAGTTTATCGCGAAGGCTTAAGTATGATGTAAAACAAGATTTTTTCTTTCTTGTCCGAGGTTTCGACTAGCCTGTTTAGCTTTAATGCATGATTTCAGAAATAACTTGTAAACGGTAGAGACAGAGTGGGAAATGTCTTTTCTAAATAACATAGGAGTAGTTGTTGATTTTCAATAACATGGTTACATAATGGGTTCTATTGAAGGCAGCATCCAGATAAAAATAATGCAGTAATATATTTTATCATTAAAGTGATACATCCACGATTGAAGTAATATTATTTCAAAGTAGTTTTGCTTTTCATTTCAGTCAAAGACTCAATTATAAAAATTTAAGAACGAATGATATGCACACTCATAAATACATGTTAGGTCAGCGACACAGTGTTGGTTTGTTGACTGTTGTGCTGTTTATTTGCATTGATTGGTTACAGATGCTTTTTTGCCCGTAAAAGTCTCACAGCTTCCACTTCTAAAAACTGAGACGACAGGAAATTTATTGACTACATCGTCAAGGGAAGGAGATCAGGATATTCTAGATTCATTATGAACTTTCATCGCCTAAAACGCCGGAGAGAAATTACGAAACCCTTTGATTTAAGCTGTCAATTGAGATTTTACTATTCAAACCGATGTTTTCATAAAGACGTTCTCATTCTTTTAATTGTGAGCTTAAGTATACAAGTCTTGCAAGTGATTGAATGGGTTTGTCAGACAGACATACATATAGAAATTATAAAAATTTACAAAATACACCCCGTTGAGAGAATATAGGCACCAGATTTGATAGTTCTATTCGAAAAGCATCAGACACAATCTTATTCAAATATAAAAGTTTGTTGGTGGTATTGCAATTGAATCTTTGCAACTATCACGATCGATTGTTTTCAAGTGAGACAACGCCAGGCTAGTCGGCCGGAAATCCGTCAACAACATTCACTTTTTGCTACTGAAACGCAAGCGAAAATATTTGAAACGAATTCGAGCAAGGTAAGATACTGTATGTTCAACAAATTTCATTTTTCACAAACCAGAATGTTGCGAACAATTTGAACTGTGGCTGCTGGTTGTCTGCAAAATTATGACTTGCTCTCGAATTAAATGATCTAAGGAAAGACAAAACATCAATCTTCTAGAGAACCAGATACATTTCCTCTTGTTTAGGCTTCAAGCTGGGAGTATTTGAACCGCCCAATTACGGAATTATATGCATTTTGATTTAACAAAAGACAATTTGGGAAGTCCTGAAATCAACCAAAAGGAAAGCGACTCAGATTTCTTGATTTTAAAGGTCCGTTTTAAACTTCTGTGGGTTAGTAAGGGACTGAGAGACGGTCGAATTTTAGAAACTGCAAGAATCTTTAGTCATGAAACTTTTTCTTTCTTTCTCCATGGCCATATGATAGATATTTCAATTAAAACTTTCCGTTACTATTTTTTCGGTGTAATCTTATCGGATCAAAGCTAAATTATCTACAAATTTTACAACAAATAAATGTGACCATGGTCTTGCAGTTTTAATGCAAGAAAGAAAATGTCACCATGAGACACATAACGTTTTTCATATTTAACTTAAATGTGAAAAACGATTGCGGCTCAGCAGATCGAAATTGGGATTCGAAAGACAGAGAAGATAAAATGACCCCAAGGGCGAATTGAAAATGCGTAAACAATATATTTTTTATTTCAATCTTCAGTTTTCTTAGCACGATGTCCAATGATAGTAGAATATTTTTAAATTAATAGAAAAGAAAAATAAGTTGTTTATATCTTTTGGTATACGTCTGAGCCATCGAGCGATTATTCTAAGGCTTTGTTCTCCATCGGATATTTAAACAAAATTATCTGTTTTAAAATATCTTGGTTCTCTTAAGGTCTCAAGGATGCGCGAGTATGAAATGAAAAGCCTTTTCATGCAGTGAATGATTCACCATCCTAAATCGTCCCCGACTTTCTCTGTGCGACCTCGTAGCTCAGTCGGAAGAGTAACGGTAGATCTAATCCGGAGGTCGTGGGTTCGATTCCCACCGAGGTCAAAAGATATTTTCTTTGCCTCGTGTGGTTCCCTGTTTCCCTTTATTAGGGCTAACGCCCTGTGGGTTATTCATGGGTTTAAGTAGCACTTTAATTTACACTTCAGAGTTAATTCTCTGTTTCACCACTTTTCATGCAGTGTATGACTACGTACCAAATGTTGGAAAAAAGGACAGTAGGAATGGATTGCGATTTCTTAAATTTTTTGTTGTCAGTTCCGCAACGTGAAATTAAAAACTGCTTTTTTTGTCCGTTACTTGTAAGAACAACTGGTCTGTAAAAAACTATATTTGATATAACAAAGGGAAAAGCCTCCATTGAGCCAAAAACTGTTGTAAAGTACACAGGAAGCGGCTAGATGATTGACAAGAATAGGGCCGGAATAAATTAAACACAGTCAGGTTATCTCCCTTATTCTAGAGTAGTCTGTCGCTTTCAGTTACACTATCCGCCTTCATAGTATTCAAATATTTTTTTTTCGCTTTAACCCCTTTGTCCTTTTCCGGCCCTGATGCGGCGTGTCGTTATTAGGGGCAAATGGAATAGCTTGTTTTTGTTTTGTTTTTTTTTGTCTGATCTGTAGTGAAACTTTACAACGCCGCATTAAAAATGATAGAAATGTGCTTCTGTGTCATGGTAAAGACCACTTAACATTTCCAAAAATCAGAGTACAGGGTGCATCAAAAACTTTATAAGGATATTTAGAAAGTTAAGCATTATTGTTCATGCGCTCTTCTGTGGGGCGGATCAAAATTTATGTTAAGGCATAATAAGTAGATAATAAGCAAACTTCAGGTTAAATTTTTGGTCCTGCTGGTGTATTGTTGTTTACTTAAATTACCCTTGATTAATGTCTTCAAAAACAGGAAATAGTGTATGGCCCGACTGCAAAACTACAAGTTTCCAAAAGTTATGTGCAATAAAACAAATTTGAAATAGCACTATTTTCAACACGGAGAACAACAATCCCATCATCCAAAACACTTTCCAAAAAGTTTATTTCAGAGATATCATCTATCTGTTGACGGCAAATGCTTGATAGACAATAAAACTTTACATTTTGATATCTATGGCGCCACATGAAAACGTCAACTTGTGAAATGGTGAAGCAACATCCCTCGAGCCAGGCATGTCTGCAATATTCCTTTCTTTATTATGAAGGAAGTGGAGATAAATATAGAACAAAAAGCTGTTATTTCTATTCTTGCTATTTTTATATCCAAAGGGAGTATTCTGGAAGCTCTTCAAAGGTGAATGTGTCAATCTCAGGGAATTTTCCCTCCTTCGTCTTTACTTTCGTCTTCCTTTATCTCGCTTACTGTTAGGTAATTCCACTCCTTTTATTTATTACTGAATTGATTTAGTTTCTTATTGATATCCTCGCTGTTACTTACCATTGGAAGATTTTGAAAGTACGACCAAAAAAATATTTTCCCCGCGTTTTTTTTGTTATTCAGATTCCAGTGTTTTAGTTTCAAAACTCAATGAGAAATTGATAAAACGATGTGAATTGAAACTATGTGAATAAAGACAAATGTCTTTAACAGCTGCAAAATAGCAGTCTCAACTTAGTCGTACGTGATGGTCAGAGATAAACAATTTGCTATGTCTGTGTAAAACCCCAGACTAGGCGACACTTCAATGCACACATCATGCTAAGACAGGAATTTGACTTGAATTACATTATTAAAGGCCGAAAGGCGCAGTGTCATTAAAATGAATCATTGTCTCCCCGTCGTGTTAATTACGTCATGCCACACACGAATTCGTAAAAAATTAGAGTTAATCGTTAGCTAAGAAGAAGAGAAAGAGGCAGAAAAAAGTAGTGCTTAAAAGTAGATCGGAATTCTAGCTTATTCTCAAGAGTTTCACCTTTAGAAGTTATTTCGTCATTTTCTTGATGCGTTTTATTTTTAGATTAAGAGTGAAAAGCCATGTTCCATGTCACGCGCCATGTGCCCCTTAGGGATCAATAACAATCATTTCGACTTTGTTTATTAGGCGAAATTGATTTTGAGTTACAATTCTTTATCTTTGGGCCGAAACTATGGATATAAATGTTGAATTCAACTAGATTTCCCATGGGAATCATGACATGTCGCTGAACTAAATTTTGGTAGGTAAGTGATTCACGTTGTTTCAACGAGCCCAAAGTTCTTTTGATTAAATCTTAGAACCAGACTTGAATATCTACACGTTCAGCAAGGATCAATTGCCTCTGAATTAAGCTTTAATAAAATTTTCGGGATTTCACGGTAAACGAGCATAAGTGTTGTTTTTTATTTTGTAATCTTTCTTGGTGTTTCCTTTTTCACGCGAAAGGTATTGCTAAATCTTAGGAATATTCAATTCGATGGCATGAAGTAATTAGAAGCTTTTTCGTAACTATATACTTATTTCTCTAGCGGAAGTAGCATGAATAACGTCGCCTAAAGCCGACTAAATTCAGTGAAATGCTAGAGAATACAGCCAAGCTGACATTTCTATTAAGTGCTAAAAGTGTGTCGAAGAAAGCATCGAAAGTCAAATGCCTAAATCATTCAATGTTTTAAATCAGGTTATAGTCTCGGTAACAATGTAAACTACTTGGCCGTGGTAAACGAATTAAGATAATAACAACTTCAATCTTTTCTTTAACAATTTCTCTAGCTGCCGAAATTATACGTGATGTTTTGACCATTGGTATTATTCACATAATGCATGAATCAACAAGACAATGGCATCTAGTACCTTTTTGAGCTTCGTTAAAGAACTCTACCCTCGGTTGACATGAATCAGTTCCGTTAATTCAAAGTCGATTAAGTCACGGCCAGTCAATGAAGAGATTTTATCATTTATCATGATTTTTTGAAGGATAGTGTGTATAAAGGCCCATTTTATTCCCGGCTGCTTTTATGAAATAGCAGGGGATGAAAATTTTCTCATGAGCATAAACATGCGAGATTGTGAATTTCAAATTATTCAATGATTTGTCACTGATATGTAGGGTCAACGCAGTAAAGTCGATATGGAAAATTGATATCATTCTTAAGATATCGGAGATAAAAATATAACCTTATGTTTACCTGCCTATTACTTTATTGTTACAGTGGGTGAAAGCGGATTTCAATTGTCAAACTACCATGAGTCTCTGAGAACTCTATTCACCATCTTGAATACGAGAACAGCTTTCAGACGCCAAACTGGTGTTGTTTTATCATGGAAACAACCCGTGCACCTATGCACTGGTGGACAACGACAGAAAAATCTATTTTAGCAACGACGCTTGGGATAATTATTGTTTTTGGAGTGTGTGGAAATTTACTTGTCATAATCGCAATTCTCCGATTCAAACGTCTTCGGCGAGCAGTGAACAGCTATTTGATCCTAAATCTAGCGGTGAGCGACTTCCTCACAGCTTCCATACTGATGCCATTTCACTTGGCTACCGTCTTGGATCTCAACATTATTGTGGACAATGGATTTCTCTGCAAAATTGGCGGAATATTATCGTATCCGTTCTACATCTGCTCAACTATAACACTTGTCATGTTAGCGATTGAGAGACATATTGCGGTGAGCGACCCTTTAAGATACATAAGTCGCGTGACAACTAGAACAATCGCCATTATGATTGTGTATTGTTGGACTCAAGGAGTCATTTTCGTTGTGCTGGTTTCGTCTTTGGCTAATATTGAGTTTTCTACTCAAAGTTTAGACTGCGGAGTCGCGTGGGCGGGAACTCCATTATGGCTCAGTATTTTGGCTTTGCTACTAAACATTGTGCTTCCATTTTTCCTACTGCTTATCATGAGCCTGCGGGTTCTAATCGTAGCAATACGGCAGAAAAAGAGGATAGACACTGAAAGATTTAGAATTGATCGAACACAAAGGAAAAAAAGCGTTTTCTCAGGCAAGTATTGATCTAATTATTGTTATCGTATGAGCTCATATTCTAATAATTATCCTGAGGCATATTTTTGGGCTCTTTTTGTGCACTATTTCTCCGTTTTGTTTTGTCTTCAATTAGTCAGCAATCGCCGCCGTCGATTAGCCGGAGAACTACCGGCCAATCTACGAATATTAACCACGAATTTTTATCTACGAACTAAGAACAATCTAAAATCTTTTATCTAAGAACTACGTACAATCTACGAATATGAACTACGAATTTTTCGCTCTAATTTAGGGCTAAAGCCCCGTTCAAGAGGTCCTCATAGTTGATGATAACTTTAACTATCACGTGTGTTCTTGTAGCTCATGTTCAAATTCGACATAATAGTTGATGATAGTTTTTGCCGTTTGAACGAGCGGATGATGGTTAGTGATAGTTTTTCGGTCAGCAGTTTTGCCAAAACCGCGGGCTCAAACCGAAATGGCAGATGATAAAGTGACAAAAAATGGGCGTCAAAATTTTGCAGAATGCCTTGCTGGTTCATTCTCATCATCCTCTGGTAGGCTTCAGTATCTTCAAATCGCAACTTCCTGACTGAAATTTCAAATGTCACCGAAATTGCTGACTTTGGCGCGCGTCATATTTGTTTACAATAAGCGATCTCATCAACTATCATGAACCGTTTGAATCCAAACAGGATTGTCAATGATAGCGAAAGAAAGTTGAAACGATCATCAACTATCATCAAACATCATGACCGTTTGAACGGGACGTAATGCTCGAGATGTCAGCTTTAGAAACTCATAACGGTGGCCAATTTGCACCACTGACTTGAGCGCCTCCCGATGTAAAATCAAAAGAAAAGTCGTATGTGCTCATCAACACCGTGGTATACAACGTTGGGTCGGCGGGAGTGGATCCCTTTTGGCCAGCCGCGCTCCGATTTCCTGCGCAAGCTTTTAATGGAAAATATAAGAAAAAAACACTATCTAGCAAATTGAGCGAAATAAAATTGTAAGAGGAAAGGAAAGAATGGAAAGGGAAAAGGAGAACCGAGACTTTTCGAATACAATATTGTAGTGGCGAACAAGCGTTCAAACTAAAGATATAAATTAAGGAGAACTCTTAAAAGCAGAGAAGCGGATGTATAAGATGGCAGTCAAAGCCGAAAGTAAAAAGCACGCTGATCTTCTCAACCTTCATCAAAGAGCAACCACACGGCGATTGATAAAATCCCGATATTGTTATTTTCCTGCGTTGCTATCGGAAAGTAAGCTTAAGAAGCACAGACTTGACTAAAAATTATGCGATCTCGTTATTTTCACGTGTTCCACGTGCAATTTCCTAAGTTAATGTACGGTGCTATTAAAAAAATGCGAAAGTGTCTTAAAGAGAGAAGGCCCTCTTAATTGTGCGGTTGCAAAAAACATTTTGAATGAACTGATAAAAACTGCAGAGCATGAAAATATACCTATGTACCGAGAGATTTGACTTTATGAAGCGTGCTGTGGGATTTTAAAACGCAAAGGAGATTAGGATTGGGGGGAAGGCACGAGTACAAGTGAGGAACACACGTTTAAATAAACGTAAATACCAAACGACCACTTCCTTTTTCACCCTACGAACCCTCGGTGTGACCAGCTTCTAATTTCTCCTTACAATATCACCACTGGATCAAACATTGAGGTCACGAGAATAAAGTAAATGACCACCAACTGAAGAAGCTCTTGATTGTTGAACAGATTCTCCTTATCAGCACTCCAGGAAATGTACTATAGATAACAGTATGGAGGATATGCATACTGATATAAAGCGTTAACGAGAGCAAACAAACGAACAAACAAAGTAAAAAATGATCGAGGTGAACAAAATATTGGTCCAGCATAGATTGTAATTTCAGAATTGTCGGGATGCTGTTATTGTGAGATTAAAGATGATGATACTCTGTTGAATGTTAAGGAAGTCAGTTTGATAGTTTGTTGCGCGCGTAGTGTTTCAGTTTTATCGTCAAAAGAGGGTCTCAAGAGGGAGATGGCTTTTAAGGATAAAGGTTAAAATTTTGGATATATTTCCGCTAACAGTTAATTTCTTTCCGTTTCGTACCCAGGCAAAACGTTTACGTGGCTTAACATTTTTTTAAACGAAAAACGGTTAAAATTGTCAGTTTTTTCGCCTAACGGCCTTGAATTTTTTTGCCCATTCCACGACTAACGGTTAACCCCATCGAGACCCTCCATAAAGTAAAGAACAAAGAAGACAAAGATTATGCTGGATAACATCTTATAGGCGTATTATTTGTATCTTCTTGCAGGACTTGAAGGCAAAGCCACAGTTGCTGTGTTGGTGGTTATCTTTGTCTTTCTCATTTTATGGATTCCGTTTCTAATCACTCGGGGATTTATGGCGTTCACTCAGCTCTACATCTCACCGATAGTGACTACTTCAGTTGTGTGGCTGCTTCATTTAAATTCTGTCGTAAATGTCTTCATTTACACGGTGCGTAGGTCAGATTACAGGCATGCGTTTGTGTCAATCATCCGCTGTACATCTTTATCACGGTCTGCTGATATCGAGCGCACCATAACCACCATGCATGAAGCCGGCTCGAGGGAAAAGAACATGAACCACAGCTCAGGGACGATACAGCTCAACTGCACGGTCATTACCATACCTGACGTAACTTGAATCAATTAAAACATGAATCGAGAATAATTACTTTACATTTGGAAAGTTACTCTAAGTAATAACTTTTTCATTAGGCAATTACTTTTCACTGATCATTATTTGTTTTCTAAGGCCGCTGGGGGGGAGGGTTAAGAGGAGTTTGTGTGAGTCCCAGTAAACATTAGTTGATCCCCCACTAAAGCTCTGTGCATTTTAATCGTACTCCTCATTTGAAGTCAATTATCTACACTCACCCCCTCCCCCTTCTTTATACTCTTTTAGTGACAACTAGTAAAAGGATACGCTTAAACGTAGGGTAGTAGGGTATGGTAGGGTTAATCTACAGGTTTTCCGCAAAAATTCCCCTGATCCCCAACCCGTTGAAGTTCGTTCTCCCTAACATCATCTAAACCCTCCCCCCTCCCCCTCAGCCGAAAAATTGTGACTGGTATCCCTTGGAAAATCATTTCCCGTAGTAATGAAAATGAAAAATCGAGATGGTGAATACAAAAAATTTCTAGGTTACAAGGATGTCACGAATCACAGTCCTAAGGTGGAAGAAACAATTCAGAGTACACATTTGAAAAAAAAAAAAATACCTTTTCAGTACATTCTCTTAATGTAATTGCATCAACACTTGGCTAAATTGCCAAATAAAGATTGAGACAGACACTCAGCAGGTTTTTTTCTTGTTTTTCTTTTTTCTCTTGTTAATAATTAATATTCCTTAATGAGTAGAAGACTTCACAACTTATATTCCTTGCTTCCGTTCCACACGAAATTTATAGCACGGAAAACTTTGCCACTTTTAAATATACTAAGCCATACGACTAAGCAGATTATTTATAGTCTAATATTCTTCGCCACCGAAGAAAATTCGCGGTGACCAGACAGAGAACTTTTGCATGTGCTGTAGTTTCTTTTTTCTTATTCCGTATTCCGTTTTCTTATTTTAAAAGCTTCTTGATAACATAATTCTAACCAGTTTCAAGTATTCTTTGCCTTGCACGACCCTGCCGGCCGCAAGTGTTTTGATTACAAAAGGTACATCCATGCATGTCTCGCCACCACGTACTCGGAGATCTTTTTCTCCGAGTACGTCACTGTAATTCACTGAACAACATCCTCGTTCATAAATATAAACAACAAAGTAATTAACAAGAAGAAAACATATCGCTATGACGGAGGGAAAAAAGCGGGAGCCGTTATTATTTCGTGCCGTTATTATTTCACTTCGACCGTACAAAGTCTTTTCGTTTCTAAATTTCAAGTAACAATTTTTCTCTTCCTCTCCCACCTTCGTATTCTTTTTGTATTCCCGCGCGGCGCGCGTGATTTCACAAATAATTAACCAATCACGTCAAACCTTGACAGTCTGTGTGTTGACTGAATTGGCTCGAAACGGCGAAAGGCAATTAAGAAAGGACGGGAAAGCAAACCATCCGTTCAGAACGCGAGGAAGCATAGTAATTCTCGTGGGCGGACAATTCTACTTACGTACACTTTTTCCAATTCTAAGGGGGTGTCCGCTAACGAGAGAGTTGGCTGTTGATATATTGATACGGGAATTTCGAGCTTATTTGTCAAATGAAGAAAGTTTCTGAACGCTGCGGTTAAGAAAAATTTAACTAACCCTTTAACTCCCATGAGTGACCAAAAGAGAATTTCTCCCCACGATGTAAATACAATATCAAGCAGACAAGTGATGAGATTTAAAAAAAATATCAATTAGAGGATTATTAGTCGATCTTTTCTCAAATTCTCCTAACTAACATCAGAAGAATTGTATGGCTAACAGCAAAGATAACTACTAACGAGTATGAAAGGTTTAAGGCACAGTCACTTGTTGTTGTTAATCGATATACCACAACTTGACTTGAATTTCAACTTACCAAATATAATATGCATTTATAGCACATTTACCTGTCAGTAAATCGGTTCGTTTGCTGATTTGAAGCAAATATAATTAACTAAAAAGCGGATGTCAATAACTTTCCATAATGTTTCGTTGTATTGGGTTCAGCTTCGTGGTTTGCGATTATAATGAAAAACACATCAATATCTATCCGAAAACATTATTCTCGTGCTAAAATCAGCCCGAGAAAAATCAATTAGAAGTGTTGGTAATTTATTTTAACGTATTAACAGTGCTGTTAGCGTGCATCACAGATGGGTTTCCCGTTTTTAAAAACTGCATGCTGTATTTCTTTAACATTCTGATCCATATCTTTTCAAACTGGTTAGAAGCTGTTAACGTTCTGCATATTATTGTTTTCACTCCATTTTCTGTTCGATAGCCCTACATTGCTAATCTGCAATTAAGTTAGGTAAAAACCAAACAAGACAAAAAACAGAACGCAATAGAAAAGAAAAAAAAAGACAACAGAAGAAAAACAAAATTAATTGCTTGAAATTAAACATGAAGTTTCCAGATATCTTTTTTTTTTTCTGTAAAAGCCGAAACTGCCTTCACTAAACAAATGCGCTGTCCTCGACGAAAATTGCTTACCCATTTCAGTTCAATATCTTTGCGAACTAAACAGCTGAAGTGAATATTGGCCGAGAACAGGGGCTTAATGTTGTTAAAAGAGATTTAATAATTTGACATATAATTTTCAATAACACCGTTGCTTAAAACGGTCGGATCTTTCTAGAAAGCAGGAAGACAACACGAACTGAAATTTTCTGAATCACTTTTTTTCAAATTTTTTCCGCTTGATATACGTGCGAAGCCTAATTCACCTGTCGAAGAGAAAGCATAAAAGAAGCTATAGAATTTATGATATGAAATCTTACAAAATTTCCGTGTTCGAGTAGGGTGTAAAACCTAACCAGAGACCAAGGAGAAAATCAATTCTTTTGTCATATATACAGATAAAAATGGATTATAAAAACTGATACGGTAAGCAAGAAATGCAAAGCAATAATCTTTTACGTGTTGGATGTGGTGAAAGTCCTCCTAAAACAAACAAAATTTGTCTTATTTGCCTTGAACTTAATGGAGCCTTGGATCTGCATGATAAACGTTGACAACTACACGACTTTCACACGCCCCTTGTCAATTAAGATCGACTTCCTTTGTTGTTTACAAATTTCATAAGTGAATTTTACGAGGTTTAAGCGTGCTTCGGTAAGCTTCAAACATCAAACGACAGAGGCACCTGTTTGGTTATTGACAAAGAGCTGAGAAGAGACTGTCTTTAACGCGGAAGGAAAGTCCATTGAAAGTCCGCTATTCGCGAAATCCTTCAAAATATTTTTTTCCAATATGAGGTATGTTTTTCACTTTAATTCATCTCGATGTTGCAGCTACAAAATATGTGCATAAAAACAAGGCAAATAGACAATGAATTAGAAATATTAACCCCGTACAAGATGAATATGATGTCTTATATCGATCAGTTGTTAGAGAAAATTAGCTGGATAAAAAATGTGGCTGAAAAAGACATGTTCGACAAAAGAAAAAAAGATGAGAAACGCGTTTACATACTGTATCTATACTCAGATCAAAACTGATATTTGTTTAAAATAAGTAACATCAACTGCTGTTTCGTTTGATGAAACCCTAGCGGCTTAACAAATGCATTATTATTGCTTAGTCCAGGCGGCTGTTAAATCCCTCCTCGCATCTTATCTCAGCGCACACGTTGAAGGATTTCCCCATGCGCTTGAAAATAGTCCCTCCCTATAAAAAACGATTACAGGTGAATAAAGAAAATTAGTCCCTTGCTGAGGTGTGCTAATGTAATCCATTTAATTCAAAATAACATTAGCAAACGAGAAAACAGAGAAATAAACGCAAATAATAAAAGTTTCGCGAAACTGGTTTGACAATAACTACTTGGTACCTAATTACAGTTCCTGCGGACTTCATCATTCGAAACCTTTTAACACTGAGATGATGCAGTTCAAAAAAATTTTTAAAATATTGATTTGTGAAAAATAGAGCTGAAAACGAACTTGATAGGTGTTGCTAAATGTCTGAAGAAAAAAAAATTAATCTATCCAGGAAAATATGCGTTTTATTAACTTGTATTAACTTACTTTCTATTCACGTCTGTGGTGAATATAATTTGTGCGCGGCCTGCTGTGTTAATTTTTTCCCTACCAAACTGTTATCTACCAGATCGGAAAAGCGAAAATGAGTTCAACACCTCGAAGCATGTTATTGTTTGGAAAACAATTCTTACATAATTGAAGATTTTATTGAGCCATGAATAAACATCCTGAACATGAGCTCAAATGGAAACTAAAACGCAGGCGTCTTATACTCTGAATATTGTCGCTAAAATGCATTAAAGCTTTTTCGGACATGACAAAAGAAGGCCTTAGGGCTAGTATCAACTTCACTTGCCTGGGAAGTTTACCGAGATTGACGGAAACTACGTATACCATCATGAGTAAACTTAATGTAAAAGTTGACTTGAATTAATAATATCGCATAGCGTGGATAGCTAAAGGACAACATTTTCCTTTGGATCAAGCTCCGCACCACCGAAAAGTCCAAAAACATGTGAGTAATTAAACAGATTTGTGAAGTAAAAAATAACTTATTTTAAGTATTGAAGTAGGAATTTTTATCAAACGCTTCTCTCCGCTTTTGGTGAGATAAATTTTGCATTTTTAGGTTTTAAATAATTGATTTACCTAAAAAGGGTTGTACTACAACACTTTTAATTTTATGGTGAAATTATTGCATTGAAGTTTCCAGCAAAATGAAAATTAAGAAAATTAAAAGGTTTTTGGATTCATCTGCTCAAATTTCCTCCAAATTAAAGGTAACTAACATTCATATTCCTGCATATTAAGGAAAGCGACAAGGAAAGGTTGAAAAAACTCAAATATCACATACAGAATGTCTTGCTTTCAACGTAAAAAGAAAGATCTTTTATATAAATTTTTTAACTTCTCATAAATCAAAAATGGAAATCAAAATACTGTGATAATAACATGCAAGTAAGAATATTGACGCGTCAACTGAGACAAAAAGCCAAGTGTAATCTTTTTTTCTGTACGGATTGTTATAAAGAGTACGGATATAGTTGAAAATGTTCAAAATGAATCTTTTCGAGGAAGAAAATTTTCCATCCGAAGCCGAATATCTTACTCTTGTCCCTTTTTAAATCTTCACATATATATCTATCATTTGCTCGGGTTTATTAGGGTGTGGCTGAATGTTTAGATATTTATAATTGTTTTACGCGCAACGTCATTACGGAAACAGACCCAGAATGGGAGTCGAAACTATCTCCGAACTAGTACTTTCCTTTCGCTAGGGTAATATAGAGTGAACTGGTTTACGAAGTTGGTGCGTAGCTGGCGAGAATGTAAGTAATGAGCGCGCAAGAGAGTAGGGTTGACAGAAATATCTTCATAAGTATTACGTAACTTCAAAAAGACCTCAGTGAAAATTCGTGTTTTCTATCTTGAGTACATCACATACAAACTACAAGGGCGCTAATTTGAGCGAGAGAGTGAACTAGCTTGGATAGCAGGTGGTTAGGTAGCGAGAATACTTGCAAAAAGTGCAAAAAAACGAGCCGCGCTGAACGCTAACTTTTCATAAGCACTGATTACGCAACTTCAAAAAGAACATTCGTGTTTTCATGTTGAATCCAAA